GCGTCATCAGCACCCCGGTCAGGAAGGTCAGGTAGTAGCCGGGGTACACCCCGTGCCAGATGGCGGAGAGCACGAACGTCTGGACGGTGGGGCTCCAGGTGGTCCGTTCGTAACACACCCTAGGGACCCGCAGAGGGAGGTTAGCCTTGTCAAGCCCACAGCAGTCGTTCTTTTGTTACCCGGGGCGGGGCAGGGGGGGGGTTCAGGGGGCCCGGGAAACAACCACGCGTCACCTTAGGCCACAGCGTGGTCATCTGTGACCTCAGGGACGTGACAGCTGTTACGTGTCAGGTTTAGGGAGAGAAATGCAATTGCATCTCTTGCTGGCCCAGCTGAGCTCAGAGGCCCTTCCTGGTGTCTGGGAGGAAGGAAAGTCACACAGGAAACTGCAGCCCCGATCAGAGTGAGGGTACTTGGCGCTGTTTGTCCTTCTCGTGAGCAGCACCAGACCTTCCTATTGAGCCGGGAGAGCTAGTCCTCTCAGGAGTGGGCAGTGCTGCGTCTAGAACAGCGGTTCTCAACCTTCCGGCCCTTTAAATACAGTTCCTCATGTGGTGACCCAACCATAAAATTATTGTCGTTGCTACTTCATAACTGTCATGTTGCTACTGTTATGAATCGTCATGTAAATATCTGATATGAAGGATGGTCTTAGGCGACCCCTGTGAAAGGGTCGTTGGACCACCAAAGGGGTCGCAACCCCCAGGTTGAGAACCGCTGGTCTAGAAGTTTCTTGTAACAGCCCGGAGAACTCAACTCGCATGGAAACAAGACGTGCCTAAGGCAGCAAGCTCAACGCTTAACAGAAGCAGCAGCAGATCCCCTGGCGACCTGCGCGGCCCCGGGAGACAGCAAGGCAGGCGGGAGCGGCGATGATACACAGGGCACCTCGGGGAGAGGGACACGCGGCCCGTCCGAAAGTCAAGGCGCGGGTGCCGAGGCGGCACGGGCGGCTCATCAGGGAAGTCCAGCGCAGGGCGCTGTCCCCCGGGTGTCTGAGCATCTTCCTGCCGTCATCTTCCGGGACTGTCCCTCCGCCTGAGCTGCCCGGCCTCCCCGTCCGCCTGACGGCCTCCTGCTGGTCATCAAGGTCAGCGCGAGCCCTGCCCCCTGCTCTGGGCCACTCCGCCCCGGTCCCTGCCCCCTCTCTCCTCGCTGTTGGGAGCAGCAGGTGTAGACGGCTCTGCGGTGTCTCTAACAAGACTGTGAGCCCTGCCCCAGTGGTTAGAGTGTCGGCCCACGAACCGAAAGGTCACGGGTTCGATTCCGGCCAAGGGCACGTACCTGGGTTGCACGTTCAATCCCTGGGCCCTGGTGGGGTGAGTGGGAGAGTCAACCAACCAATTGATGTGTCTCTCTCTCTCTTCTCTCTTCCCTTCCCTTCCACTCTCTCTAAAATCAACGGAGCCCAGTTGGCGTGGCTCATTGCCTGAGCGTCGACCTATGATCAAGGAGGTCACGGTTCGATTCCCGGTCAGGGCACAGGCCCAGCTTGAGGGCTTGATCCCCAGTGGGGGACATGCAGGAGGCAGCGATCCATGATTCTCTCTCATCACTCATGTTTCTCTCTCTCTCCCTCTCCCTTCCTCTCTGAAATCAATAATAAAAAGATATTCTCTTTAAAAAAAATCAATGGAAAAAAAAATATCCTCCAGTGAGGCTTTAACCAAAAAACAAACAAACCAACGAAACGACCGTGAGGCCTGCAGGGCTGCATCCTGGGCCGACGTGGGAAGACCCCGGGCTGGTGCTGGGAAGTCTAGGGCGCATGCACGGCGCTTGTACAGTCACGTGTTCCGTTTGGCCAACTCTCAATGAATGAGCAGGAGGATGTGTGGCCTGGCCTTGGCAGGGCCCTCACGGGCGGAGGGGAGGTCAGGGCCAGCCGCCTCCTGGCCTGGCCCCGCAGGAGGGTAACAGCGTTTCCGATGTCACCAGGTATCACTCACACGCCGTTCACTAACCCGGGGCCCGGCTCAGCGAAGCCCGACCGCGCGGGGCTGAGGGCAGCTCGGAAGGAACGTACCTTTTGAGCCACAGCGCCGTCTGGATGTTCCAGTTATCGAGAAACATCTTGAAGCTGGTGGACCCCTGAAAAACAGAGCGACGTTTCTCTTGGCCCAACGAAAGGATGGCGTTTGGAAGGTGGGCGGCAAGGCCTTCTTGTGCTGAAGATCAGGGGCTTGGCAGGGACGCGAGTGTCGTGCTGTCGTTCCTGCGCGCGCTCTTCTGACTCAGTGACGGGGGCTCAAGGGAGCGCGTGTGGTGTGGGGCACCCCCCCAGCTCAGCGGGCTCTCACCCTCTTCTCCTGTCTGTGAGCATTCGGGGGCGGGGGGGCCAGGCATTATCCCGCAGAAAGTCCCAATGCTCAAGCAAAGGGCTCGGGCTCTCCCCCGAGGATGGACGTGCTGAGCTCCCCGGCGCCGCGCCCTGCAGCCACCCCTCCCGGCTCCTCGGAACGTTGGCCCCGCCGGGCACCCCCGCAGGAATGGGCTGCCACCATCCACCCGCCTCCAGCCCCTGGAGGAGCGTCTCCCAGGAGCTTCCCTCACGTCGGAGGGAGCCTTGGTCCTGGCTCGATGAGAGAAGGTGTATTATTATTAAAAATCCTCCACCACGCCCTGGCTGGTGTGGCTCAGTGGACGGAGCATCAGCCTGGGGAACTGAAGGGTCCCGGGTTCGATTCCGGTCAAGGGCACATGCCTGGGTTGCGGGTTCAACCCCCAGGAGGGGGCGTGCAGGAGGCAGTCAATGAATGCGTCTGTCTCATCATGGATGTTTCTCTCTCTCTCTCCCTTTCCCTTCCTTTCCGAAGTCAATAAAAATACATATATTTTTAAAAACCCTTCGACACCACTCTTGGCCATCACATCATAACTCTATGACAGCAAACTATGGTTCTTCGAGTGTCACATGGCAACTAACGTCTCCATGAGGTACCAACCTCTATTTGCTGAATCCTCAAGTTGGAAATTAAGTCCCAGCGAGCTTCCCCATGTCTGTCGTAGCCTCTGAACCCGAAGCCTGCAGCATTGTTAATCGCGTCGGCTGCGGAGAATAAGCAAAGGGGGGATGAAGAACCTGTGTCCCCATCCGCCGCGTCCCCCAGAAGGGCCTGCCATCGGACGTGTCATCTCTTATTCTCAACCAGGAAAAGCAGGGCCATTCCCATTTCCGTCTAACACGATGGGCCTTGGTCCCGTTTTAGGGTCTCCGAACCGTTTCTGGGACACATCCTCACCGTGTGGGTATGAGCCATAGGGCTCCTGTCTTCTACACGAGCCACCCTCCTTGTTCTCCTCGGTCTTCCCCTCTCTGCCCTCCAGGGGGCACTCCCCCGGCTGCATAAGGTGTAAGACACACGTCCGCACACTAACAGGAAAGCCCGTCCACATGCTACTCACCTAACGTCCATGCAAAATAGTATTTGGGTCTGGCAGCCAAGAGAGAGACATACAGATAGAGAACCTTTGCCGGCCACGAGGCTGTCGCCTGAAAATGCGCGTCGATGTTGTGCTCCACGGGGAATGCGTTCGAGACGGTCAGGTGGACCAGTAAGGAGAGCCCACAGACCACCAGCTTCTGCACCACGGCCGCCTGCACGGAGAGACGGGCGTCATCGCTGACCCCCCCTCCGTGGGGCGTCACCCCCTAACCCACCCCCTTCCGTGGGGCGTCACCCCCTAACCCACTCCTCTGAGGGGCGTCACCCCCTAACCCACCCCCTTCCGTGGGGCGTCACCCCCTAACCCACTCCTCTGAGGGGCGTCACCCCCTAACCCACCCCCTTCCTACCCCCTCTGTGGGCATCACCCTCTAACCCACCCCCTCTGTGGGTGTCACCCCCTAACCCCCCTCTGAGGGGCGTCACGGCCTAACTCCCCCTCTGTACCCCCCTCACTATCTCCTACGCAGTGAGGCCTGAGAGGTGAGAGGCCGCCTGGAGACACAAAACGGTCCATGGGAGAGGCCTGGACGCACCGATGTCCAGTCTGACACTCAACCCAGTTCGATCCAGAATTTCTCAGCGAGAAAGCCACTAACAGAAAGTATGGAGACTGAAGCCCCTTCTTGGTCTAAAATACAATGAGCTGCACAGCGGGCCACGATTCTCCACGCTCGCTCTGTCTACAATAACTTGGGGGGGTGGGCTGACCCTTTGCTCCAAGCCCCACGTTCTGAGAAACACACACACCCCCTTTTACTGTCACAGACTTTCTGAGTTACCTTCTTCTCCTGGGACTTTCATTTTATTTTTAAATATATTTTTATTGATTTCAGAGAGGAAGGGAGAGGGAGAGAGAAACATCAATGATGAGAGAACCATGGATCGGCTGCCTCCTGCACACCCCCCACTCGGGATGGAGCCTGCAACCGGGCCTGTGCCCTGACCGGGACTCGAACCCTGACCTCCTGGTTCCTAGGTCAGTGCTCAGCCCCTGAGCCACGCCGGCCGGGGTCGTGGGACTTTCAGACCCCACCAGGCCAATCCCGCAGAGTCCGCCGACACAAAGCCCAGCCCTGCCTGGAGG